CAATAGGTTGCAGATGGTTGCAGGCTTGGGGTTTTCTTGAGAACTCCCTTAGAAGTAGACTGGAAGCATGTGTGAGGGATTGCGATGAATTACAGGATGCTCGGGACTTTGGGGTCTGCGAACAGCCTCCCCCAGATGGAAGGCAGAGGCCACTCGGCCGCGGGGCGCCGCACTGGCAATGGTCGAGCGCCCCCGGGGCCTGAAATCTCAAAAGGAACGTTAAAAGGAAGGAAAATGAGGGACGATGACTCGCAGGGTCGATCTACGTGTCAAGGGAATGTAGGGGGTCTTTTTGCCAGCTCTGACAGCCTCAGCACCCCAACATGCCGCAACGACAGAACATCAACTTTCCGAACCATGGAAAAGCTTGTGCACTTGAAGGAAACGGCGCAGGCCGCATGGGGACTTCGACACGTCGAATGAAGGCCCGCGAGCTGAACTCAACACGTAGAGAAGCCCGCATTCTGCCCAAAACAATCAAACCGATTCACCTGCCAAGCCCAGAGGACCAAGCTGCCTCTTGGGAGATGCTGGCTCAGTGCCCCTGAGGCGCCCAAAGAAGGGCCTGGAAGCAACATGTTCCTCTCGAACTAGGCCCGCTTTCCTGGCGACATGGCCAATATCCCACCTGTGCCCACTCCAAAAAACCCGGTCTCAAACCCTATGCCACTAAAGCCCGACATCATACAAAGAACCCTACAACCCCCAGCCCTGGGTAGCCCCCGGGCCCTGCGGCTCGACGGAATGCCGTAGTCAGGGCGCGACGTAGGAAGCCTTGAGCTACCCACGAGAAAACTCAGGTGTTCTTGAAAGGCGCCTTTTGCTCGACTTACACCAGTGAGGCGCTTGCACCCAAGCATGCTCAACAACCATGGACAGTGGCGAGCTTCAGGGGTTCAGGCGAGGTTGGTTGCCATCCTTTAATGATCTTCAAACAAACATCCCAAGTAGGCAACCCAAACCCTGCGTGAACTAAACCTGCCATTCTTTTGAGGACCCTGCGGACAGCAGTCGCCTCCTTCGCCGAGTGCTTGTCTGCGGCACCTCTCAATCGAAACAGGTAGTTGCGGACCTTTTTGGGCGACCACCCTTCTGCAGGATGGTTTTTGCCACCCGCCAAGCAAAGCAGACACAGGGATTTGTTTTTGCAAGGGTTGGTTGTATGCCCTTATGCAACAAAAGCTATGAAACCCAGCTGCGCCCTCCGGCAGCATGTAAGTCTGGAGAGCTAGTTGAGTAGGAGACTTGCTCGATGATGTTTTTGCTGAGCCCACAGACTCCACTCCCACAGACTCCCAGAGACCGCCCTGAGCCCTAGCAGCTTTAGCCCGCCTGTGCCTGAAAGGCTCGAGGCCTTTGGGGCAGCAGCCACTCGGAGGCCTTGGCGTAGGTCACGAAGCGCGGCAGCCAGGCATATTCGCCTTGGTTCTCGACTTGTTTGTCAGGACTGCTGTGGCGGAATTCAGGGTTCTGGATAACATAGGGCGGTAGCCGTTTGGGCACTTGCTTCTGCAATTTGCCATTGCTGTGCCGCCCAGTCATGTTAGGCAGCTTGAGAGGACCCTTTCGCTTGTCAGTGGAAGACGACTTACAACTTGCAATTGGCAAGACGCTCTCTTGCATTCATTGGGAGTGGGGATGCACAACGCAAACGTCAGCCCAAAGTATCACTCAACCGCAGAACATGTTTCTCTCAAAGCAGATCTCAATCTCACGATCATCATGGCCCCCAGGAACTGCAGCTACAACTGGCAGCTTGCATGCACCACCCTTACACTTTCTCCTCAACCTGAAGAAGGTGCGCATGTTCAAAGCTTTTGCCTCCTGTTTGCGGACTGTCCTGCAGGCTGGCTAAAGCCAGGCTAACTTGGCGCACACACACCACACGCCCAGCGGCCAAACTGGTGGCAATGGGGCAGGCCGTGTCACCATTGGCTGCTCGAGATTCGAAGTCCTTCCCTTCCGAACCATGAAGCTGGAATCCGGGCTCTTCGTGCGCTGCCCCTATACCGAGAGAACTGTACAGGTGCTATTTCGGTCTAGAGCTGCCCACCTCTGAGGTCCCGTTGAGTCGTTTTAGTCCACCATGGGAAGTAGTCAAATATATTCTAACGCAGCACGACCCTCACGGCCTTCAGCTGCCCTATCAGACTCAGAGCTTTGGGAAAGCTTTGGCATCCAGTCCCTGGATCCTAGCGATGAAAAACTATGCGCCGCTCAGAAGGTAGCTCGCATGGAGCTCTTGTAGCCCATCTAGAGGCCACGTGCCATCTTACCTTGACTGGACACAGGCTCTCTGTCCTGAACTGTTGGCTCCATAAAATATATACATCCCTGAGTCCCAGACACATGCAAACTGCCCGATCCCCTTGTTCGAAGTCCCCCGCCTCCAACTCCTTTTTCCAACTTTCCTATCAGTGCACGTAAGGCGAATCTTCATACCCTGACACGAAGCATCAGACATCAGGATCTTACACTCTCTGCCGGGCCCCGATTCCCAATCTCTAAAGTCTGCCAGACACCCCCCCACGTCGGCATCGCGGCCGGGCTGCGCATCGCTGCATCCCGGCGGTTGTGGTTCGCAACCTGCGCCTGCCAAAGCGCAGAAGAGAACAGCAGGCAAAGGTCTTTACTAAAGCAGGTCGCTGTCTGTTTCTGTAGCTTTGTTACCTTTCCCATGCCAGCACTGGTACCGAAATTCAAGCCCCGGCTTCACATGCCCAAGCCCCGACACCAAATTCCTTCAATCCTCCGTACATCTGGGTGCGCCTTGTTCGCCTCTTTCCGTCGGGCTGCAAAGGTCTGACCCTGGACCTGCCAAACGCATACTACAGACTTGCCTATTGAATAATTGCTCCCAGTAGGTGCACTTGCATGCAGTCATGGCGCGGGCTGCGAGCTCTTGCCCTTTCCCTTTCCTTTTCCTTTGATGCGGCCGCCGCGCATCCTGCAGGCCAGCCGATGTGCAGCAATGGTAGCGTGCAATATAGATACATATGGTGTAAGTACATTGCCTGAGCAGCTGAGCAAGCAGGGCAACAAGATGACACCTGCTCTTAGCAAAAGTGCTGCTCCTTTGGCCGTTTAGACCTGCGAAGCCCTCTGTCAAGTACCTCGTTAAGGCCCTCTTCACATTATTTGACACGTGGCTTCGGTCAGGCCACTACAGTTTCGCCCTTTGATAATCGGCTCGCTCCACTCCTCATGGCCCCCCGACCACATGGGCCTGTTGTTGCCCCACTGCTGCTGACCACCGTCGTCGCTGCTGTTCTCCGGCTCCTCGTCGGATTTGGTCTCCTTAGCAGTGTGGTCAAGGCTCCGAGGGGAGAGTTCAACTTTGAGGATCCTTGAAGCAGCTGCGCGACAGATCGGTGCCACCAAAACCTCCATACCTTCTAAACTTCGCACAGGGAACTACCGTCACATACTCTGTCAACATGACAGCTTCCTTGTGGCATTGCAGTTGATACGATTCTTGCTGCCTGCTTTCAGACCCTCCGTCATCCGATGCCTGAGGCCTGAATTTACAACTAACTTAATCCACACCCTACTCAAGCCCTCCACCTCCTAGCAGGCGTCCTCCCAATCAGAGGCGACCCCCGCAGCCAGCCGGGGCATCTCCACAGCCTCCGAGAGGCTTCGAAGCTTCCAGCTGGGTAATAGTAAATTTTGTTGGTAGAGAGGAGATGGGGAGAGTGTCTGGTTTCGAGGCCATTCGCGAAAAATCTTTCAAGACTACAAGGCACCCACAAAAGCAGTCGCAGTCGCGTGCGGAAGCCTCTTCGTCATCGAAGTCGTCATTGTACTTCTCCTTGGGATGTTCTTTTCGCCACCCCCAAACAAATCAACTGATTAGGTGAACTGGACAAGTCGCCATGCTGAAGCTACCGGGGAATCCGAATAAGCAAGATTTCGGGAGCCCCAACCTGACGCCTTGAGCGCCAAACCCTGTCCTGACATCCTCCAATGTCCAACCGCTTTTGTCCCGGTCGCCTCACTATTCCCTCCCCCCCAACTCTCTCCTCAGCCTCACTTTGCTGATCAGGCTGGAGATCAATGCGCTCGGCCTGTGCACCAGGCTAGTTAGGCACTTTGAGAGGTGGCATCGGCTTTAGTTCTGGATCTTGAATTGATGACAACCAAGATCGCTAAGTCGCAGATCTAGTAGTCTTATTCCCGAATACTTGGCCCGTCCGATTGATAGTCACAAACCCCACTGACCCAATCGCAACCCTGGAGGGGTGTCTCCAGTTCGTTGCCCATTACAACCGTCTGCACAACACAAGAACAAACAAGGTACGAACTCGATATCTCTCCTTCTCTCCTTCTCTTCTTCTTCTTCTTCTACTTCTACTTCTAAGGGGCTTGAAGGGCGTCGCCCCCCTCAGCGCACTGGGCGTGGTGAGGTTCCGTTCAATCCGTGTGACACCTCTCGCTTTCTCTCTGCACCCCGGAGGGGAGCTGTGACACCTCTCTCTCTCCTCTGCTTGTCTCCCCCGTGTTACTCTCCCCTCCGCGGTGCATGTTCGGGACCCTCAGTTGGCCCTCACGCTGAGAGGAGGAGGAGGGGTAGCAGGAGTTCATATCCACCGCTTGCCCAACCCATCATCCCTGCCACATCCTCCTCCTCGCCCGCTTCTTCTTCTTCTTCTTCTTCTTCTTCTTCTTCTTCTTCTGAAAAGGCTCCCCTTGCGGAGTGGCCCGGGCCGCGGCGGTCGCTGTACTGTCTGTTTCGGTGAGAAACGACCCCCGTGTTAGTTAGGTGTCGGTGGAGTTGCCCCTCACCCTCCTCCACTGGCCGTGTGCTTTCCTCGCCCCCTCTCTTTATCTCTTTCTTTCAGTCTTTCCACCTTTCCTTCATTCCCCCTCTGCTGGTGATACTTGTGAGATGCAGTGGCACCCTGCCTCTCTCTCTCTCTCTCTCTCTCTCTCTCTCACGCTCTTTTCTTTCTTTCTTGGGGGGGGTGGGGGTGTTGCATGGGGGTCTCGTATTGGGCGTTTCAACTCTCTCTCTCTCTCTTCCTCTTCCTCCCTCTCACTAGTACTCCCTTTGTTTGTTCTTCCCGTGCTTTCTTTTCTTTCCAGGCCCCCCCCAGCCCCTGCTGCAGCCTGCTGCACCCCTCGCTCCCAAGTCTCAAACTCGGCCACGCACACAAACCATCACAAGCCTGGCCCAAGACTCGCTTCTTGTCTTCGGCTGAAAGACCCACCTGCTTTGTAGCTGTTGCAGGAGTGAGTGGGCGTGGTTAGGGCACCACAAGCTTGGACTTTGGCTGGCTGGACATCGGTTGGATACTTGAAGGTATTCCTGAACCCCTTTTCAGCCGAAGCCAGGGGCCCTAAAGTACCCCCCCCCCCGTCCCCCCCCCCCTCCGTAAACTGCCTCTGCTGAGGGGGCTGCCGCCGTAGGCTCAGCTCCTGCTCAAACTTTCGGGCGATGATGGGCAGTGATGTTCCATGCTGGAGCTGCTAGACACCATAAGTCAGAAGACACCATAAGTCAGAAGACACCACAAGTCAGTCCCAAATACTCCAAAATTCCACGCAAGCAGGGATCCCCCCAACCTATCGCAAGAGTCGTGGGCAGCGCGCTCAACTGCGGAGGGAGAGAGCCATCCAAGATGGCGCCGACCACCTTTGGCCGGACGGCTCGAAAACAAGCACCAGCGAGCGACAAACTTGCAGATCTCAAGCAGCTCCTGCTGAGCTCAACGATCAATGAGCAAAAGGACAAAAGGCCTTTGAGATGAAGTTCAGATGAAGCCCCTTCGTTCTATCAAGGGTGCACGGATATGGGTTTCGGGTACTGGCAGTGACTCCGACTCTTTCGCCCTGGAGACTCTACACCTCACCGGTGGCCATGTCACTTGGGGCACAGAGCCACCGTAGTGCAGCAAACATTGGAGAATGAAGCCTGGGATTGCGGGAGGCAACGACAGAGACTGCAGACAGCGACGAGCTCCCCGTGTTTGTGACGTATTGGGTAAAGGGCCCCCTCTGACTGGATGGGAGCTGGGTTCGGTGGCAGCAGGTACTGATAAGGTTCATCATTCATCTCTCATGCTGCATGGTGCCCCACTGGGGCTTCCTTCTCTCTGTAGTTCGATGTGCACGAGGCTTGCTACGTGATGTGCCGGTGCTCCACCGGCACTGGCCCATCCGCACAAGGCCTTCTCAGTTGCACATCCGAACGATAGCCACATTCGGCTGGCCAGCTCGAGGCATCTCCATATCTTCAGCCCTTCATCGAGCAAGCTACAGAAACAATTACAACCTTACCACCGTTGAAGCCCATGACCAGTGATTTCGGTCGATTCTCGATGCTGGTCCCCAGGGCCTTCAACGGCTCAATGACCCTCATTGCGATCCACGGAACCCTCGCCGTAGTCGTTGCCGACGACTTCGCGCACCTTGGGCAGGGCTTCTTGCGAGAAGCAGCAGCGAGCAAAACCACTGCTGCGAGCCCCACAAACTGCCGTCACGCGCCCACCCCAGAGTAACTTGAATGTTGCTAAGTATACTTGCCCCTTTTGCATCTCTCGGTTCGCTGCCTCCTTGCTAACCATGGCAAACTTTCGACTTTCATGTAAGAACCATCACTCATTGATATTCGATGATCTTCGCACATGCACGATGGTCAGAAACATAGCCTGGGTCATCTGACAAACCCCACCTAAGAGCTGGGAAGGATAGGTGTGCAGTGCTCGAGCAAGCGATCGGAAGCGCGAAGTACGAGCTTACAAGAAGCGCCCCACAGCGCCCCCCCTACGTTGGGGGGCGGCGCTTAAGCGCTTCGACCTCGATGGCGCAGGCTGACTCGCCCGCCTCCCACAGCATGGGGGTCGGCAGCTAAACCTCCGCGGGGCAATCCAGCCCAGACGTCCTGGAGCCCTCGCCGCAGCGTGCCCAGACTTCGGCCCACCCCCCTCCCCTGCTCCTGGCCTGACCCTTTCACTTGCCTTTGGACCTGACCCCCCTTTGATTCCCTTGCCTGGCCCCTGATCTGGCCCCCAGTTTAGGCCTACACCCCAAAAGAATAGGTTTGGGTGGCTTGGCGCCTCGGACGGCGTGGGATGGGAGAAAAGTGTTAGATGGCCCTCCACAAGCGGGCCAAAGCTGCTCTTCGCACCTCACGAAGCTTTCGAGCTTGTTCCGAAACCTAACCTTCACAGCACCTACGCCCTATCACAGCAAACCCTAAACCCTAAACCCTAAACCCTAAACCCTAAACCCTAAACCCTAAACCCTCCTTCACACCTGCCTCCCGGATCTTCGCGCGGTCTGTGGACGCACTGGACTCTGGCCGCGCAGAGCTCGAGCTGGCAGCTTGGGCACCTTGTCATAGGCCAAGTCTTAGGCCCTAAACCCCTAAACCCCTAAACCCCTAAACCCCTAAAACCCTAAACCCCTAAACCCCTAAACCCTAAACCCTCAACACCTGAACCTCTAAACCCTAAACCCTCAACACCTGAACCCTAAACTCTAAAGTTGGCGGCTTGGCATTTCGGCTCTCAGGGGGGGAGCCGATGCACTGAAATACAGGGGGTGGGCTTAGGCAAAACTCAGGAAACATCTTGTGGAGCTCGAACAGTTCTGAAAACTCTGCAAGTTTTGCAGGCTCTCAAAGTTCGAGAAATTCGAATAACTTCTACAGTCTACAGGCTATGAAAGTTCCGCAAGTTCTAACAGTGCAGCAAGATCTGTAGAGGTGTGATCGCGTACTTAAAGTGGGGCTCTAGGGTACGGGTGCGGGCTGTGGGGTCAGGATCCTTATGCTGCGGATACAACCTTTTTGTAGTGACTTCTAGCCAGTACGGTATGTGCGAAATACGATCCTTATTCGCAGCTGTGCAGATTACACTGTGCATAGGCTCTGTTCTGGCATGGGGAATACCTGATTCAGGGTTTTGTGTGCTTCAAGGAAGGCAGTTGAAGGAAGGTGTGGGTTACCGGCTTTTTTCAGGACATCACCAGGAAGCATGTAATCATAAGAATAGCACCCTGAGTTGACCCCCGCCACCCCCTCTCTCCCCTCCTCATGCCAAAAAACAAGGTAATGTGTGCCCGAAGCCTACTCTGTTCTTCTGCCAGTACTCTTACGGTGCCTGTTTTTAAATACCCGGACATCTAAACAGTCAAACAGGTATTTCATACTACCTCCGTGGAGCGCGGCGTCAGGCCGCCCAGCGTTTTAAACGGGTGGAGTTTTTTTTTGGGTCTTTTTTTTTTTTTTTGGCCTTTTTTTTTTTTGGTCGATTTTCTTGGTTTCTCTAGGAAAAACCCTACTTTCCTTACATTTTGGACGGATTTTCTGTCATTTCCCTTAGGTTTTCGTTGGTTTTTCATAGGGAAAAACCTATTCTTTTTACATTTTGGACGGATTTCCTGTAATTTCCCTTAGGTTTTCCTTGGTTTTTCCTAGGGGGAAAACCCTATTTTCCTTACATTTTGGACAGATATCCTGTCATTTCCTTCGTTTCTTGGGCTTTGAAGCACGCTTGGTACGGCTTAAAAGAAGCGGGGGGGGTTGGGGGGGGGGGCGCAGCCCCCCCACTTGCAAACACCTCTTGGGCTTTGAAGCACGCTCTGCGCGGCTTCCAAAAAAAAAGAGCGGGGGGGTTGGGGGGGGTCTCACACGATGCTTTTCAACTAGTTTCTTGGGCTTTGAAGCAAGCTTGGTACGACTTAAAAGAAGCGGGGGGGGTTGGGGGAAAACACAGCCCCGCTCCCCCATTTGCAAACACCCTGCTCACATGACGGGTGTCAACAAGTTTCTTGGGCTTTGAAGCACGCTCTGCACGGTTTGAAAAAAAACGAGGTTTTCGTTGGTTTTTCCTAAGGAAACCCTCTTCTGATTACATTTTGGACGGATTTCGTCAAACGTCAAAGCGTACGTTGCTTTTCCTTAGTTTGTCCTAGGGAAAACCCTATTTGGTTCGTTTTCTTGGTTTCTATCATTCCCTCTATATTTTCATCGGATTCATACTTTTTTTTCAACTAGTTTCTCGGGCTTTGAAGCACGCTTGGTACGGCTTAAAAGAAGCGGGGGGTGTTGGGGGGGGACGCAGCCCCCCCCCCCATTTGCAAACACCCTGCTCACATGATGGGTGTCAACAAGTTTCTTGGGCTTTGAAGCACGCTCTGCACGGCTTAAAAAAAGCGGGGGGGTTGGGGGGGGCGCAGCCCCCCCCATTTGCAAACACAATGCACACACGATGTTTTTCTACTAGTTTCTTGGGCTTTGAAGCACGCTTGGTACAGCTTAAAAGAAGCGGGGGGGGTTGGGGGGGCTGTGCCCCCCATTTGCAAACACCCTGCTCACATGATGGGTTTCAACTACTTTCTTGCGCTTTGGCTGAAAAAAAGCGGGGGGGTTGGGGGGGGCGCAGCCCCCCCCATTTGCAAACACAATGCTCACACGATGTTTTTCAACTAGTTTCTTGGGCTGCCCTTGGGCTTAGAAGCACGCTTGGTACGGCTTAAAAAAAGCGGGGGGGTTGGGGGGGGGGCGCAGCCCCCCCCCATTTGCAAACACCCTGCTCACATGATGGGTGTCAACAAGTTTCTTGGGCTTTGAAGCGCGCTCTGCACGGCTTAAAAAAAAAGCGGGGGGGGTTGGGGGGGGCGCAGCCCCCCCCATTTGCAAACACAATGCTCACACGATGCTTTTCAACTAGTTTCTTGGGCTTTGAAGCACGCTTGGTACGGCTGAAAAGAAGCGGGGGGGGGGTGGGGGTTGGGGCACAGCCCCCCATCTGCAAACACCCTGCTCACATGATGGGTTTCAACTAGTTTCTTAGGCTTCGGCTGAAAAAAAAGCGGAGGGGTTGGGGGGGGCGCAGCCCCCCCCATTTGCAAACACAATGCTCACACGATGTTTTTCAACTAGTTTCTTGGGCTTTGAACGGCTTAAAAGAAGCGGGGGGGGTTGGGGGGTCTGCGCCCCCCATTTGCAAACACCCTGCTCACATGATGGGTGTCAACAAGTTTCTTGGGCTTTGAAGCGCGCTCTGCACGGCTTAAAAAAAGCGGGGGGGTTGGGGGGGGCGCAGCCCCCCCCATTTGCAAACACAATGCTCACGATGTTTTTCAACTAGTTTCTTGGTCTTTGAAGCACGCTTGGTACGGCTTAAAAGAAGCGGGGGGGGGTTGGGGGGGGCGCACCCCCCCCCCATTTGCAAACATCCTGCTCACATGATGGGTGTCAACAAGTTTCTTGGGCTTTGAAGCACGCTCTGCACGGCTTCAAAAAAGCGGGGGGGTTGGGGGGGGCGCAGCCCCCCCCCATTTGCAAACACAATGCACACACGATGTTTTTCAACTAGTTTCTTGGGCTTTGAAGCACGCTTGGTACAGCTCAAAAGAAGCGGGGGGGTTGGGGGGGCTCTGCCCCCCATTTGCAAACACCCTGCTCACATGATGGGTTTCAACTACTGTCTTGCGCGTCAGCTGAAAAAAAGCAGGGGGGTTGGGGGGGGCGCAGCCCCCCCCATTTGCAATGCTCACACGATGTTTTTCAACTAGTTTCTTGGGCTGCCCTTGGGCTTTGAAGCACGCTTGGTACGGCTTAAAAGAAGCGGGGGGGGTTGGGGGGGGCGCAGCCCCCCCCCCATTTGCAAACACCCTGCTCACATGATGGGTGTCAACAAGTTTCTTGGGCTTTGAAGCGCGCTCTGCACGGCTTAAAAAAAAAGCGGGGGGGTTGGGGGGGGGGCGCAGCCCCCCCCATTTGCAAACACAATGCTCACTCGATGCTTTTCAACTAGTTTCTTGGGCTTTGAAGCACGCTTGGTACGGCTTAAAAGAAGCGGCGGGGGGGTTGGGGGGGGCTGTGCCCCCCATCTGCAAACACCCTGCTCACATGATGGGTTTCAACTAGTTTCTTGGGCTTCGGCTGAAAAGAAGCGGGGGGGTTGGGGCGCAGCCCCCCCCATTTGCAATTACAATGCTCACACGATGTTTTTCAACTAGTTTCTTGGGCTTTGAACGGCTTAAAAGAAGCGGGGGGGGTTGGGGGGTCTGCGCCCCCCATTTGCAAACACCCTGCTCACATGATGGGTGTCAACAAGTTTCTTGGGCTTTGAAGCGCGCTCTGCACGGCTTAAAAAAAGCGGGGGGGTTGGGGGGGGCGCAGCCCCCCCCATTTGCAAACACAATGCTCACACGATGTTTTTCAACTAGTTTCTTGGGCTTTGAAGCACGCTTGGTACGGCTTAAAAGAAGCGGTGGGGGGTTGGGGGGGGGCGCAGCCCCCCCCCCATTTGCAAACACCATGCTCACATGATGGGTGTCAACAAGTTTCTTGGGCTTTGAAGCACGCTCTGCACGGCTTAAAAAAAAAGCGGGGGGGTTGGGGGGGGCGCAGCCCCCCCCATTTGCAAACACAATGCTCACACGATGTTTTTTCAACTAGTTTCTTGGGCTTTGAACGGCTTCAAAGAAGCTTGGGGGGTCTGCGCCCCCCATTTGCAACCACCCTGCTCACATGATGGGTGTCAACAAGTTTCTTGGGCTTTGAAGCGCGCTCTGCACGGCTTAAAAAAGCGGGGGGGTTGGGGGGGGCGCAGCCCCCCCCATTTGCAAACACAATGCTCACACGATGCTTTTCAACTAGTTTCTTGGGCTTTGAAGCACGCTTCCTTTCTTCCTTCCTTGCTTCCTTCCTTTCTTCCTTCCTTTCTTCCTTCCTTGCTTCCTTCCTTTCTTCAATCCTTTCTTCCTTCCTTCCTTCCTTCCTTGTTTTCTTCCTTTCTTTCATCCTTCCTTCCTTCCTTTCTTTCCTTCTTTCCTTCTAAAACCTACCAGAAATAACGCTTTCCTATGCAACCACAGAGAAATTACTGTTTTTCGTACGAAAAACCACGAAAATGCAGCAAATCCTTTAAAATATGGAGGGAATGGTGGTTTTCTTAGGAAAAACCAAGAAAATCGACCAAAAAAAAAAAAAAAAAAAAGGCAAAAAAAAAAAAAAATACCCAAAAAATAGGCCCTCCGTTTTTAAAAATCCGGAAATAGACCCCCTCCAGCCAACACCCCCCCCCCCCCCCCAACTCACACCCCAATCACCCAAACCCCCTCCAGCCAACACCCTCAAACCGCCCTCTCTCCAGCCCCCACCCTAACCACCCCTCCAGCCAAACCCTCCTCCAGCAAACCCCCTCCAGCCCCCTCCAGCCAACACCCCCCCCTCCAGCCAGCCAACTCCACCCAGCACCCCCCCCAAACGCCTAGCCAAGCCCCCTCCACAGCCAACCGCCCCCATCCAGCCAACACCCCCCAAAACACCCTCCAGCCAAAGCCCCCTCCAGCCAACACCCCCCCTCCAGCCAGCCCCTCCAACCCCAGCCTGTTTCCACCAGCCAACCCCCTCCAGCCAACCGCCTCCAGCCAACACCCCCCCCCCCCCAGCCCCACAGCCAACCGCTCCCATCCAGCCAACACACCCTCCAGCCAAAGCCCCGTTGGCTGGAGGGGTGCTGGAGGGGGGTTGGCTGGGGAGAGGAAGTGTGGTTGGTGGGGAGGGTTGGCTGGAGGGGGGAGGGGTGCTGGGGGGTGGGTTGGCTGGAGGGGGGCTGGAGGGGGGTTGGGTGGGGAGAGGAAGGTGGGGAGAGGAAGGTGGGGACTGGAGGGGGGAGGGGTGCTGGAGGGGGGGTTTGGTGGAAGGGGGTTGGCTCAAAGGGGGGGTTGGCTGGAGGGCGGGGGGGGTGTTGGTGTTGGTCGTTGGTTGGAGGGGTGCTGGAGGGGGGGTTGGCCCCTCCAGCCAACCAAACCCCCCTCCAGCACCCCTCCCCCCTCCAGCCAACCCCCTCCCCACCTTCCTCACCCTTCCTCTCCCCAGCCAACCCTCCAGCCAACCCCCCTCCAGCCAACCCACCCCCTCCACCAACCCCCCCTCCAGCACCCCTCCAACCAACCCCCCCCCCCACCTTCCTCACCCTGCCTCTCCCCAGGGGGGGGGTGTTGGCTGGAGAGAGGGGGGGTGGGTTGGCGGGTGCTTAGGGAGGGGCTGGAGGGGTGCTGGGTGGTTGACGGGCTTGGCTGGAGAGAGGGCGCGGGAGGGGCAAGGGTGGAGAGGGGTGGGGGGTTTGGCTGGAGAGGGCGGTTGGCTGGGGGGGGGGCTTGGAGGGGGTGGGGTGTTGGCTAAAGGGCTTGGCTGAAGGGGCTGGAGAGGGGGTTTGTGGAGCCTGGAGGTGGAGGAAGGGTTGGGTTTGGCTGGAGGGGGGGGCGAAAAAGGGGGGCTTGGCTGGAGGCCGCTAGTGCATAAACACGAAAACATGCGGATTTAAACTGGTCTTTTATACTACCCCCCTGGCCGTTGCTGGTTGGCCGCCCTCCACTTATTTAAAAAACGTCACCGTAGCCCTTCCAGCCATTCAGGACGTAGGAGTTGAGCGCGGCAAAAAGTTCTGGGAAGTCTTGCGGTGGTGAGAGAGCTCAGAGATTTCTGGAGTTTCCTCCATTGTCTAGGCACTGAAAGTTCTGGAAAGCATGCTAGCATGTCGGTAAGAGAAGTTCATAGGCAAGGATAATTAGCGACACGTGTGCCAAGAGAGATTTCTGGAGTTTCCTCCATTGTCTAGGCACTGAAAGTTCTGGAAAGAATGCTAGCATGTCGGTAAGAGAAGTTCATAGGCAAGGATAATTAGCGACACGTGTGCCAAGAAATCTCAACAACATAAACCAGAAAAGAAAACCAGCCAACAAATCCTGAAAAATAAGCTAAAACCAACAACAAAAACACCAGCCAAATAGTCCCACGCACCCCAAACGCGACGAAGACAGTCCCACGCACCCCAAACTCAACTAGCGCGAGGCTTCAGGTCATTAAACGGGACGTGGATTGCGCAGGTTTGTATCTTATACAGGCTTCTGGATTAATGGCCGCTTCCATGAACTCTACTGCGCTCTAGAGCGACCCCGGCGAAACCTTCCTCAGACAGAGTGATCCACTATCTTCTCCCCCAGCCTCCGCTCGCAGCCGCCTTAGGCATCGGCCGCCGCCGGTGCCGGGCTTCCTATGCAAAACGGGGTTTAGGGCCTTTAGGGTTTAGGGTTGAGCGTTTAGGTTGAGGGTTTCGGGTGTGGGGTTTGAGGGTGGTAGAAGAGAAGAAGTTTCGACGCGTTTCGGCTCTCGTGCTTCATTGCAAGATCAGGCAAGGCTTCGCCGAGGGAACATGCATTCAGGGCTTGGAGCGACCAGGGCCCAATCACCGAACCTGGGCTTTTTCGTGGAAATATACATCTTGATGTCAGTGGCCCTTTCAAGCCAGTGGCTTCATCAAAGCAGAGGTAGAGCCTTTACGTGCAACATGGGAGCTCAGGATGCGGCTGTGCACAAGCAAAGCTGTTTAAAAAAGCAGGATCTAGGTTGCAATCCCATGTCCTTGGGCAGGAGTGGGGCTCCACACACATCATCCAGGTAATCTAGCCTGGGCGGGGGTCGGATCTCTTCGAAAATCCTCACCAGAGTCCTTGAGCAGCTCTTATGCTAATTCCGCTCGGTGGCTAAACGCTCCCACGCCACTGTGGGGCTGAGGGCTTCAAGGGTTGAACCCTCAAAAAAGAACCCTAAACCCTACACCGCAAACCCCAAACCCCTGAAGGGTTGAAGGCTGACAGGGATAACTCCGCTTCGCGTTAGATGCCAGGCACTGCGTGTCATCGACGAGGCCACTGGCAATCCATTCCATAGCAATGTTGTCAAGCCCATTCCTGCGCTGGCAGTTTCAATCGACTTTGGAATGCAGCATGTTGTAGGGTTTCGGGATCGTGGGGCACTGCCAGGAGGTATGCGCTCTGACCGTTGTTTTCACGGAAGCAAAGCAAGAACGAGTAGCAGTAGTCCTGCTGAGGTCCTGGATAAGCTCAGTCCTGCAGCACAGGGTTTGGGTTTCTGAGCCCATCCCTTGTCCTCGTGACATTTCGCCACGACACCCATATCAAAAACGACTGCAGGCCGCCGGGTCCTTTCCGAATGCTCCACGAGCCAGGACACGAGGTCGCCGAAGGCATTCGCGCCGTGCCGAGGGGCCATGCGAAAGCCTGGCATCTGCACGTTGGAACTTTGGGTTTGGCCATCGGGTTTCGGGTTTCGGGTAACAAGGCCCCTATAGACCCGAAAGACTAGAGGGCCCGGAGACTTTGTATACGGCTGAACATGCTGCGTAAGCTGAGCCAAGCTGGGAACGGCCTCAGCCTTTAAAGCCATCAGCTATATCAAGGGTTCAATCAAGCACTCCGGCCTGTACCGACCTAATCCGACCTGTTTCTGTAGAAACAGAGCTGTGTCCAACAGCCAGCTACCACGTCAAATCGACTACGTGCCCTGCACGACTCTGCCCGAAATGGCCTAGGACGCAGGTCAACAGCCGACTGAGCAACTTGATGATGCTGTCCTGGCCAGATCATTGCGGCTACGCATATGGTAGACTCGACAGAACCGAACAGAGTCAGGCAAAAGTACTGATAGCAATCCAGCAGACCAAGGCTCGTTGCCCGAGCAGTTGTAAACCTTGAAACAATTCCGACCATGTTGTGAAGTCCCCTCCTTTTTTATAAGCTTTACAACAAGTCAGTGTGTCCTGTACATGTATTGACCCTCCTATGCCGGAGGTTCAACCAGGTCCACTAGAAGGAGCTAGTTGTGGACTGCTGTCTTGGGCGTTGAAACATTCTCGTGGTTCTAACTGGTTCTAGACTTGCGCACATTCGGGCCCCTATCCCCCCCCTCAGCCCATGTCCAGCTGAGTTTTGCCGTCGCTCGACTTCGATCGAAGGGCAGAGACGGCATCGTGCAGCAGCACCATCAGATCCTCGTGTAACGACACTTTCGGGAAGTCGAAGCACTCCGCTGCCAAAGCCGGGTACTCGGTCTAAGATGTCTAAGTACCCCTAAACCTTCAAGAGTGTGCACCGAAACTCTCGCCGAGACGCTGCAAGCGGCACTGCAGTGGTAGAGCCACTGGCGCCATCCACCTTGAGACTGCCTAGGCGCGAGGAGGTCAGGTCTCCAAGCCATGACAGCATTGAGTGTCACCACAATTCGAAAGACCACCCAGTCCGTCGGCCAGCCAGTCTGAGTGTGAGCGTGAGTGCGAGTGTGAGTGTGAGTGTGCGTGTGCATGTGCCGACAGTTTACCATCTGCGGTTCACGGTTTCGACCCTCACGCTCGCACACGGCATGCAAGCCTTCGGTAGGTCTCAGTTGAACAGTGCAACGCTATGACCGCCCTTTGCAAGCATCAGCATCTGACTCTGACTGTCACTCAGGACATCAAGCTCTAACTGCAGCAGACCTCATCGGTTCAGGGTTTAGGCTTTGGGCGATGTGTAGATTCTTGGGGCGCAGGCAAACGGCTTTGGTCTGGGGATATTTCAGGGGATGCGCATGCCTCCCATGAGCTTGTCCACGCAGTCCTCCGGGAAGAAACAGAAGATCGCCTTCCATGGCTCAAGGAACGGATTCAAAGCCAAAGAGTTTTTACTGGGCCTCTAGGCTAGGGGCTGAAAGGGCAACAAAAGCACCCACCCGATTGCAGCAAAGCAGCGTTGAAACAACTGAGCATGTCAGGCAGGAATGACAGGCACTCGTTCCTTCGTTCGTGCCACAAGGTGCCAAATCACATGCTTTGGAAAGGTGTGTGGCCGCTTCGCGCAAAGACAGCACCTAACGTCACGGGTGAGTGGTAGGTCACGGGGTGGTGACGATGACAACGCGCTGTGTATGCGTTCATCCTGAAAGACAGTGACATAAGTTGGTGTAGATGGACCTGCGCGCCGTGGACATCCATGGACTTGCACGCGCAAGCAACCCCCCCTTTTGTGTGGAACCATCCGGCCTGAAAGCCTTGCAATGCCAAGCTGAAGACTGTCTCTAGGCAAGGTCTATTCAGGTCACCTAGGATGTCAGTATTGCTGCAGAAAGATGTACTTAGTCTCTCCCACAACTCGAAAGCCGGCCTCCCTGCAGTCCAAGCCGCACTGACAGGTCCTGGTCACTCAAGGCTTGCCCCCTCGCAGCAAACTGCAGTGGCGCGCAGCATTGGAGAAGGCCATCCAGCCTTGACTTCGACCTATCGACCTATGCTTTTGTACTATTTGTAGGGCCTTGTTGAGGCATCTTGAGACGTCCTTCACTGCAAAACAGGCTCTGCCTAGCTTGGGAGACGCTCATGCAAGCGACCTGATGCTCCTAAACCCTAAAACCGAAACCCCCTAGCAACCTCCAACCCCTACAACTTGGCCTGCTTTAGGAAGCCAATCTTGAGTCTCTTCGTGTCCCTCAAGCCATCTCAACTGTTCGAGCATGTCTACCAGAACCATCTCCACCCCATGCCCCCCCCACATCTTCCAAAGAAGTTCACAATCTCAAAAATGACCATGTGCTACCAGAGCTGCATGTGCTGAACGACCGAACGAAAATCCTCCTGGGAAGACGTTGCTTGGTCCACGTTGAGTGGTTCCGTACTGCTTCCATTACGGCGCATGTTTCTAAGACTTTTCAAAGTTGGCCTCACGAAAACGGTATCAAGTCTAGGCACAACCGATGCAACTTCCTAACCCCAACATCGACATCAAACAACATTGGCATTAACTGTGCGCTTCGACCTTTACATCCCCTAAAGGCGCCAAACTCCTTTCTGTAAAGTTTAGGGTTTGGGATTCTTGGACCTGACCTTGTTTTGACAGCGCCCGCTGTTCGAATCGGGTTGGAGAATCTGGGGTTGGGTGAAGTTTGGGATGGCTGTGGTTTTAAAGGGGCCCAGGTTCTTGGCCAGTCAGTGGTTGAAAGTTTGCGGCTTGAGGGTGCATCACGCCTCACCAGAAACCGTACCCCCCCCCCCCCCCAATCCCTCAAACCTGAAGGTGGAGAGCCCTGTGCTAGTGGAGGACGGGTCCTTAAAGAGCGGTTGGCACCTAAAAGCAGAGTGTACGATCTTCGTCACAGTGCTTCGATTTGCGTCGCCATAGATCACGCAGATATCGATAATCTTGGGGACGTCAAAGACCTGGCTCTCGAGGATGACCTGTGCGAACTTGTCCTGGGACAAGTAGTCGCTGGGGCTCTCCTCAGCGGAGTTGGATCAAGAACTCAAGAAGATCCCGAACATTCCCGAACCTTCATTCTCTTCATTCTGAGTCATTGAAAGAAAACATGGTGCTAATCGGACATGTCGCCTGCGGCCGACTTAGCCGCACCAAGAGCTGCAGCATCCTCCGACTGACCTCCTTCGTCACGGCCTGTTCCTCCGCAGATGCGCCGGAATCTTCCTTAGCAGCTGTCAAGGTTTTCGGCTGGTTTGCGGGCATGTTTCGTTGTTTCGTGCCAGCCGGCTTGCACATTAGGATTTTTTATCTTTGATGGGTCGCAAAGCTTTCCATTGTAGCCTCTAGCTTCCAGGCCTTCCAGATCATGTGCTCGGAGGCAGAATCTGAGGTAGGAGTCCACGAAGCGACTCACACTCTGATCGAAGATCACCTGACTCCAGAAGACGTGGAACTTTGACCTCAGAAGCTTCTCCAGCTTCTCGTTCAGCGTCCTCGGCCCGCGCATGGGAATTAACAGAGCAGCCGCTGCCACACGCCTACAGTCGCAACATCAAAGAAACACTTGCAGCGAGCCTCTAGTCCCAATTACTGTTCTTATAGGATTCACAGATTAAGGTTACCGGCAATGTTGCTTTATGTTGCTTTCCTTTGGGTGGCGGCCGGGAGTCTCTAGGTATTTCAGCCTCAGGCTGAGATCAATGTCGTCGGGCAGATCAGACTCGGCGACGTTGTCCGTTGGCATGAAAGGCAGCAAGCCCAAATCGGTTTTCCAGTAATCTGAGATGTCGCTGACCTTGCGAAATAGAAACTTGACTGCCGGCAAATCCTCCAAGCCCTTTTTGTGTTCTTTTTTTACGTTGTCCGCCAGCGCTGTCTTGAAGCCGTCCATACAGGTCCAGCTGCCATGAAGCCCCCTCAACCCTCAACAGCCCTCAACCCCCCAACCGACTTGCCGCAACTCTCCGAAGCCCTAAACCCTAAACAAGTTTTTTAGACCCAGGCTCTGAGCATCAGCTGTGACCACCAAGCCTCAACCCTGAACCCTAAACCCAAGAGCTGGGCATTCCCTGTGAGGGCTTTCTCCGCTCGAGAGGCCGCTTTGGGCTTCCGCGTGTCCCGATCTTCCACATAGGTGACCTCTCCGGCAGAGCGAGCCCCGAAGATCTAAAAATGTGCTGGTTTTGGAGTGGTTTTGGAGAATCTGATCGTTCAGATCAAGGTCGCAGGCTTGAGGTTCTTCGGTACACTAGAAGGTCTGGTGCTGTTGTTGGGCAGCTCGAGGTTGACGAGGGCTGGGGGCACCTGGGCGCCTGATCCAAACATGTGTGCCAGGGACAAGAGAAGTACTACCTGCAACTATCGATAGCCAACCCAGCCAGCTTCTGCTGTAATCCTTCCAAGGGCAGTATGTGAAACAGCTGACATCAAGCAGCTGTCATGGCACATGGCAGTAAGTGCAAGATTCTCCAGCAACGGCCTCCTTGTCCGCTCCTTTGGAGGCAGCCACCTTTCGTGCCTCGGGTTCGGGGGACGATGCGTTCCTAAATCTCGGGCTTGGAGCAGGAAAGGAGAGCTTTTTGAGGGGCAAGATCGAATGAGATGTCCCAGCCTGAATTCCACACAATTCCTCAACCCCTTGTCTGACTTAGGATGGGAGCTTCTGGGGACATCGGGTCGAAGGAGGGTTGAGGCTTTGGGAATTGGGCACTCGAAACTCGCGGAGCAGCCTGCTCGGCGGCAAAGAACTGCTGCTTCTCCTCCTCCTTCCTTGGAGAACCGGCTTTTCACAGCTCTTGATTCATGTTGACACCAGCGTTGCATGCCGCCACTTGGAAATCTCAGCTGTCCCGGCAGGTATGTGCTACATGTGCTACATAATGAGTGCTGCGGCTGCGACAATTAGATGATGCACCGGGTGTAGATGCTGCACATTCCGACGCCTTTGCTCTGTCGCCTTTCGCACAGTGGATCTGGGAACCTCGCTTGCTGCAGCCGCTAGAAAGTCTGACATGTTGAGTCCAAGATTCGCTTCAAGCAGCTTCTGCTGCTCCTCTTCTATCTCCTGCCCATGAAATTCTATGGCGCTTGAGCGGCGATGAACTTGAAGCAGCAAGAATCTATGTAGCATCTTTCTGGCAAGGTTGAGTTGGGTCTGCTGATTCTAATCTTGACTAAGTACCAGATGGCTCGCGAACGCCCACTGCGCCACTGAATGTTGATGTTCAAGCGACGAAGGCAAAGCCATGGATATCCAACTGGCACCCTCACAAAACTTGAACAACAACTAAGATGAAGGGCATTCGCAAGCCCGAATACAGGCGCAACCGGTGCTCGACCACCTTCTTGCTCTTCGGAGGCGGTTCAGGCTCCTTCCTTGGCTTTCGGGTAAAGTTTAGCGTTTTTTTTTGGCGGGGCTGTCAGCTAGAATCCAAAGGCTTGGGATTTTCAACATTTCCTCAGGGGGTTTAAGGCGATTCGACGCTCTTGCACAAGTTAAGGCAAGCATCAGGGTCCGACAGTGCCAACACATATTGTGTAGCCACAAGGCTGGAACAGCAATATTTAATTTCTGCATGTCTTGTACATTCGGGCTACCGCAACAGCGATTCAAGGACCCCGATGTGTACTTTGCAACTTGGCGGTGTAGGGGGTTCCCCCCCTTCTGTCGGACTTCCAGAGCGAGCAAACCCCAAAAGAGCCACTTCATAAAGCCGCACTCAAGCCCCTAGCCAAGACTCCGAAATCCACAGCCGCCTGCAATCTCACATCTGCAATGAACAGCCCATCCCCTGCCCTCCCCACATCTAAAGTTCGGGTGTGGAGAACCTTTTTCAGGATTTTGTGGTTCGAATCTCAGGGTGTAAGGTGCCCATGTTACTGTCGGAGCTGCTAAGAGAAGGGATGATAAGGGGCTTTTATTGAAGAACCGACCATCTTTCATCCAAGTGGCTTTGCTTTGGGGGCAACAGGCCGAGGAGGCTCCTTTACCTGAGCAAACGAGATGTCAGGCTGCAAGAATGAACGAGCTGGCGATGCGTTTACGTTTAGATTGAAATGGACGACGGTGTCAACAAACCTTGGCAACGAGAAGGCCCGTGCATACTATCACGACTGTTCTGCAGCCGAGCACTGCGAAGCCTTGAACTTTAACCCCTGCACAGCGGCTGCCCGCCACATGCCATGTGATGCAGCATGCCTCAACCTCAAAGCCCAGCCCACAAGTCCAAACATACCCTAGTCGAGTTGCCACCTCCTTCTTCGGTGGGGCGGCTTTCGCCTTCCCGCTGGCATTCAGTGCCTTCTCGAAGGGGTGCTTTCTGCGCTGGCATTCCCGAACTCTCGGCTGGTTCTCACTGACTGGTTTGCGAAGACGTGTCGGTTCTTACGGCAAAGATGAAGCCGACTCCACTCAGCCACAGGGACTTCCTGAAAGCCGCTGCAAAGTTCAGATCGCTTCAAATCTTGTGCCGAGGCTCATTCGCAAGAGCCGTTCGGGAGTCGAAGCCCTGCTTGCCCATCTTATTGCAGTGGGTAGTGCAAACAAGCTCAACTGTACGTCCTATCATGGTTACGCTGCCGGTGATTACTTGCCCTGTGGCAGCAAGCGTACTTCGTGGTTTGTCTGATTGGACGTGAGTCTAGCATGGCGCTTGAACCAGAATCTGAACTGGACAAAAGGCCAAGGTGTGTCGCAAGACTGAAGGACGGCACTTTTCGAATCGTAGTCTTGCTGACATAGATCTGCTGCACGCTTCATGCGAGTGCTGACTTTGACAAGTTTTCACCTCTCACGAGAGCTCCAAGTGATCAGAAAACCGTTCTGTCTGGGATAATGGAAATAAGACTTCTAGAACACCAGGATCCCGACTGCTCGGACTGTGCCGTAGCGTGCACTAAATCGGCTGCTGGCGGAAAGGGCACGGACCAGACCTACGCGTTCATCAAGTGGGACTGCGGGGGATTTGGTGGGAAGGCAGATTGTTTTGGGAAAATGGGGGGTTCGGATGGGGGGTGGTAGATGCCTACGCCCCAAACGTACGGTTCAGACATCGGCGATCATCGGCGATACCCTGACAGCCTCTGGCTGCTCCACGAAGGCCCACTGGAGAAAACAGACCTCAAGATGTGGGAAGCTCGGGACTTGGGAAGTTCAGACCCAAAGTTCTCCTCTTCTTAAGATACCGCAGAAGTTCGAGCTGAGCTGTCGTATGCGGTCAGTAGTCTCGAGTGAAACTCCAAGCGTTAGTTTCATTTTCACGCATTGTCTTTGAACTCAGCATAAGGATTCTCGATCACAATGACCATGAAACCTCATCAAACTCATCCGCTAATTCGTTCTGGCGGGTGGCTACCTAAACCAACGTTCTCAAAATTCCACGCGACGTAAACACCGCTAGAATCAGAGAGGGTCCGGGATTGCAGGTTTTTGCCACCTGCATCCACCCCCCCAGCTGGCAAGCATTCTGCCCAAACTGAGATCCTTCTTAGTGCCTTAGTGCCGGGCGCTCGGGCTGTCGTCTGGCAGCGCTTGCCCCAGACCTGAGGGCGGATTTCGGCCTCTTCTTGCCTTTTATTACCCTCATAAGAAATTTCATGTTCATCAATTGTCAATTGGCAACTGAATCAAAAGACATGATTCATGTGTATATATGATATATAAACATATATATATATATACATACGTACATACATACATATACGCTGGCATATTCTGTTAATTATCTCTCTGCAACTTCCGCGGCACCTGGAACCGTGACCGGGGGCGCCTGGGCCAAGGCCTCAAGGGCCGCAAGTGCCATGACCTGCGCAAGGGGGCGCCCCTGGACAAGAGGAGAACAGATATTCTTGCGTCCGTGTATTTGTGTACATACAACTTTTCATACAAATCGTTTGGTCACTGGCCAAAATCTAAGCAATCGAGTAAGCGTTTTTCTATTTTGTCAAGGGCTCTTCGGTCTTGGGCATCGGAAGCCAGATGCACGACCTCTCGGACAATGTATGAGTGACCCGCCTTGAGGTTCTTCTGATGGCCCTTCTGGACCTCGAACTGCTGGCAACCCGAATCTCGGGCATTGTTAGTTCTTGACTGATTGTGTTCATCGTGGGCCCACGACATGCAGCCCGTGATCCCATGCCACAAAGGCCAAGTACCCGAACATGCAGTCAGCCATCCTGAACCTCGATCCGACAAATCTGACTGTGTCCGCGACACTGGCATGCGTCGAGTGGCAGTCCTGTGCAGCACAGACAGAAGCCAATGAGCACATGGAACGTGGATGTATTCAAGGGAAAGTAGGCACCTGATAAAAAGTCGCCAAAGCAATCCCGGCTGCACAGCATGAGAATGTCAGTTGCTTCAGCACTCCTTCTGTGCGCGCTGCTGTGCATCACCCAGCGCGGACATGTGGCCCCGATGTTGTGAGTCGAGCTGCCGGAGCGCCCTGGATCGTGCATGGTTGCTGGGGTTGCTGTCATGTCACAGACTCAAAACAACCCCCCGCTCTCTTCGAGGAGCCACCCCGCCTCACATCTTCTTCGGATGCTTCTTTCCTGAGCAATGGATGGGCCCATGCACTTTCCGAGGGCCTCTCGAGGCCTCTCACTACGTGTCAAGAAAAAGAGCGGACGCTGGTTTTTGAGATCCAGGCCCCATCTTTTTGATGAGAGCCTGATCAAGCGTTGAAAACTTCAGCCTCGCACTGCCGTCACACGCCGGCGCCTCACGCTCCCGTTTCCAACGCT